CTAGACCAGTCTTTTCTTGAGGCTGTAAATGTGATGCAGTGCTGGTATCAGGGCTGAACATTATGATTAAAAAACTAGCGTACAGCCTGTCAAAAGTGATGGGGCAAGTAGTAACACCCCCACCCCATAGTATACCCTAACCTCATATTTCATAGCTAACTGAAATAAATAAATTTTGCAAAATCAAGCAGAAACGTGCAGTCGAGGCAGTCAGACGTCAGTCAGTATAAAATGAAATGTATAGACAACAAAATTGGAAAAACATTTGTTGATTTCTTAAAGAGGTTTGTTTTCTATTAAAGTCATTGCCAATGTAACAGAAAATAACTTAATTCAGAAATTATTTAAGTTTAAAATTGAATCGATATTTTTACTTTCATGATAAATTTTATAGACTTGACTCTAGGCTAGGTGATCCCACACTACGTCTTTACTTTAGGCTTATTATACCAACACTCACTACACTTATAAGGTATCATGGCCCCCTTACACCCCCAACACTAAAATTGTAATGGGCAGACAATAATCAAAGTATTTTATCTGGATAAATGTTTTTTGGTTGTATGACAGCCAATCACAATGTAAACTGTTAGCATGTGACTGTAGTGTAGTTCATTTATGACCATAGAGCAATACCATAATATTTGTATCCTATACCAATTTTATTTAATGTTTTCATAGTTATGTCCAATGTTGTATTTAGCAAATTTATTTACATTTAGTTGTCTTTTACAATATTCTGTCTACAAAAATATGCTTACACTGATCTCTCAATTTAGATTTTAGGCCTCCCTGATACTGATATTTTACTTCAACATCTCGGGTTGCTCCTTACATTAGCTTTTGTCCAAATTTGTTCTCCACTTGTTATGCAGTAATTATGAAGCTCTAAGTAGATGTTTCATATACCACCTATAACATCACTGAATAATAGTATAACCATCATACTCTTCACCTTGATCAGTGAAAGGTTAACCTACTTTATTGAAGTAATCAGTGATAACTTTTCAATAAAGATCTGTAATATTGTTTTTTATATATATAATGAAACATAAAATTTCGGTGATAAATTTATTTTTTTTATCTCTGAAGAAAAAAACACATTTTACAAGTACCATGCTTCAATGTATGCTGCATGAACTGATCAAACGATAGATCAGTATGTTATTATATGTACTACAGAGAAAGAAACACAATAAATATGAATTATCAAAGTATCACAATAAATAAGCTGAATCAACCTGTGTTAGTTATATTTCCCTGGTGGCTCGATAATAAGGCCTTTCTACCCGAAAAATCTAGTTTCGATACCAGTGGATAGCAATTTATGGATAGCCCAATGTGTATCTTTGTGCTTAACAACAACAACAAACAAGTTAATTATATGTAATGTAATTTTGAACAGTCCAGTTGAATATCTAATGTATATTTTATCTTATGTACTACATTAATCAACATTCTAATATATATATATATATATATATATATATTTAATAATGGCTTGAGTGGGTAATGTAGAAAAACTTTAATATAAGTTTAACATAACAGCAAATG